GTTATGTGCAGCTTATGCCAATATTATCTTTTTAATATTATAATTACCAAAGCAGTGTCGAAATGAATGATTTGTAATTTTTTAACAAATTTATAACTTATATATAACGGTATATTTTCTGAGGTTTGCCGTGGTTTTCATTGCAACATATAAATAGTTAATTTAATCAATTTGCTCTTTCGTTCTTTATCTCTTTTTTAAAGACATATTTATATATTTAAATGACAGAAATAGGTACATATTAATCGTTGATAGTTCTGTGTGATGTTAAATTTGCAACAACGTGCCAATGATCGACAATTTCAACACATACGAAAGCAGAAAATCTCGTTTAGATTTAACTGCCATCGCATATCTTCAGCACGTGTAATATAATTTAATTTAACATGTCCGAGATAAATTTTATTTTTCTGATAAAAACAAATCTTTTATTAACGAATTAAGATAAACACTGACTTTTTAGATTTAGGACGAACATTTAAGGATAGCAAAATCATCACACGCGTGACACACACGCGTTAATATAATATTTATTTTATTACGCTTTCAATACCGCTACGTTTGATAACTGACGCTGTAAACTTCGCGTGATCACATTTTCGAGATACTTTGTGTCGACACGTATATAGCGGCCATTAATTTAAACACGTCGATCGTTGGGGACGTTGTCCGTGACCGTACACCTTGTATATTTTTCTTCGAAATTATTTATGCCTAATCTCCCATCGCGCAATTTCGCCATGCGCGGGGCCGGCTTATTGGTTATTAATCGTACGTGTCGTGTATGCGTGTGTAGCGACGCTTTCTCCAATCTTATCAACGGGTGATCTCGGCAGGAAAGTTCGGCCCGTGCTCTTTGTGAAGGGGGCTGCCGCTTTTGCGGATTGTTCAGCTTAAAATATCACATACGCCCGTTACCGATATCACCGATACAGAATTCCCACGTCATGCTCATACATCAGCGATTTCTCCTCCTCTCTCTTCTCCTTTCGCGCAACAGCGTTACGATTGGTATCGGTTTATTTGGCAATGATCTCCCGGGAGCGTACGTTACAGCGCTTCAACTTTGTAGGCGTAAGAGAGTGCGTGTCTTGTTCGGCAACGATTCGGCAAGGATTCGGCACACCTGATTAAGAGAGCGAGTAATACAAGACAAATACATATCCGATATTTAAAATACGCGTTTTCGACTCTCGACTTTTCTCTTCCTATCCTTATGTTTGTCTTCAATCACGAGTCCTCATCCGCGCCATATATGCGTGCAGCATACAAATAATTATATATATCTTTATAACCGCCTACGATTTATTATAATTTGCATTCTCGCGTCTTAGAATATATAAAATTTACCTGTTGAAAATTTCAAGTCTTTTGATACCTGCAATCTTCGTCCAAAGCAATGTATTTTTCGTGATGCAAAAAGTTATTAAAAAATTGCAAAGCGAGTGTGTGCCATTTCTTCTTGGTAAATATGTGGTGACAGTGCTCTTTTAATACATTTTGACTGTCAGGAACAATGTATGTAAAAGCAAACGCACGCAGTTGCGATTTATATCTTTTGACGTGTATGTAATCAACTGTTTTATATAAGCATACATCCTTCACAATGTTGTGCTGAAGTTTCAAGCTATGATTTCGAAAGTCTAATTCAGGAGACGATCGAATAGCAATGATAAATTTTACTTCTTGTTGATTAGAAGTCATAATAATGTTGTGCTGAAGTTTCAAGCTATGATTTCGAAAGTCTAATTCAGGAGACGATCGAATAGCAATGATAAATTTTACTTCTTGTTGATTAGAAGTTACGTGTTTGCCTTGGAAGACGAAACTCGAAAATTTTTACAGCGTGGTATATACATTTCTGAAAATTTTACGAAATTAGTGAAAGCATATCGTTCGCGCGGGACTTATGGTCAATAAATGACGAGTTAAATTATATGACAGCTACATATATATTTGTACAACACGGATTGACACACCACACACATAGAATGAAGCAGATATAAAACTCGTACAACAACAGAATATATTCTTGTTCTAATAAACATAAATGCGACAAATGATGAAAATATAGAAGATTATTTTGCGAAAGGGACGTTTTTCAAGTTTTATCTTTACACGTTTCGTTCATGTTTACACATACCTATACAAAAGATTAATATTAATTTAGAATATCTTCTTTCATTTTTGGCATATATTTCTAGTATTTCTCATAATCAATTATCACGTGCATAAATGAATCGATAAAACATAAAACATGTAGAATAATTCGTCGCTCTTTATCCTTCAACTTTCGTCGGCAAGCGTGTAGCTGCGGGGACCGGGACGTTTACGAAAAATCTATGTTTTCGAGCATTAGTCACGCCGAGAGATCACGACCGGGCCCTACGGCGGGCGTTCGGTTCCGCGGCGGTATTCAAAGGTCAATCGGAAAGGATAGATGCAACGTATCTCCGAGTTCCATCATCCTCGACCAATTCCGAGGGATTCGATTCTCTACGGAAGTACGAGAGTTCACGCTCGTATGTTTCTAACAAATTCGAAGGAATTCGACGCGCTGGGCGCCGCGCCGCGCCGCACGCGCCCTTTAGGTAATACACGTGGGATGAGACTAGCAGTCTCCGGCCGTTTCGCGGTCTATAGAGTTGTTCGAGATCGTATCGCGACGAAGCGAAGACCTAATGGCTCACGCGAGGTGATGCCGCGCCGCGGCAAAAAGCCTCCCCGATATCCAGACATACACCCCGAGTGATACTATCTATACGTGAATAACACCGTGCAATCGAGAGCTCGCGGTATCGCGAGATCACGCGGGCCAGATTGCGCGGCATCGTTGGACCGCGCGCGAGGTGTCGATGGAGACTGGTAAATCGAGATCTACGGATCTCGATCTTATGCGCGAAACTTGAGTTAAGTTACCGGAAGATATCGTCGAGCTTTCTTTCCTCTGTCGAATGATGTCCAGATCTCTAAAATAACTTTTTCACCGAGTTTGCTTTCCTGTCGAAGTACTGGGAGCGTTTTCGTCCAGTTTTATACGCGCGATTTTTTTTAAATACAAAATGGGACTACAATATGTAAAACAATATAAATTTTAGAAAGATACAAGAGAAAGACAAAGTATGGGTCGTAAATGTAACTATAAATATTATTTTATGCAAATATACGTATAATTGTTAAAACTTTCAAAAATATATAAAATATATTTAACTATAGAAAATTATCGTATACAATTATATAAAAATAATTAAAATATAAAAAATTTTAAATATAACTAGTAAGTAAAAGACAGGAAAAATGAACGTTATTCAAGGAGTAAACAAGATCAAAATGCTAAATAATAAGTAGCTGCAACTATAAAATTATCTATTTCTGTCAGAAATTTAAATAATAAAGATTAGAAAAACATAGAGATGTGTTATAATAAATAATTTGAGCAAAATCTCACAAGCTTTCCAACCTCTGATTTTATTTCTTATCGAGCTATCGGCTGCGGCGACACGATTTCTAACTTCCTCGATCCGCTGAACTGTCAGGACTTGCATTTTCTTTATAAGCTGTTTATGCACGCGCCGATTACTGTGAGATTTGCATAGTTTCCGCCCGCTTATGTTCGCCTCTTTCGGCTATAATAATCACTATCCTTGTTGTTGCGTTACAAATTTTAGGACCGGCTTATCCCGATTACACTACTCATTAGAATTATTGGAAACCGTGATTAGGGCTGATTTATTAGTAGAATAGATAAACATAAATATATATATATATAAATTGCAAGAATTGCAATTCAGTTGTAGTTTTTATTACAGCTATTATTGGTTTCATAATACTGTTAGTAATACTAATGATATAATTATATTATATATTATACTAATAATGTGTTAATGGAATGTTAATAACCGTTGTGTTAAATAAATATATATTTCATACTTGAACTTTTTTGACTGCTTAATGTCTTTTTTATATCTTAATTGCCATTATTAGGCAAGAAAGTCTAAAGTAAATCCATTTATTGATGATTATTTTCTTTGATTATTACATAGTCTACAGTCTACATCATAACGAAAGCCAGGAAGATAATCTGGAAGCTACCCAAAATTATCGAAACAGGTGTTTTCTAAATGAGTCACAGATTACGTGTATAGATTCAATCCGATAGAGGAAATTTCCGTGCGTTACTGTGTCTGTTGCTGTTGCTATGTTGGTTACCATGTAATTTCGGTCCGCTCTGGCTAATGCGCGCGATGCTTAACCCTTTCGCGTCAGATGCAACACGTGATGTGTGTGACGTATCTCTTATCTCGGATGGATCAGATGTACGTTGTACATAGTCTGTAATTACCGCCATGAGAAGTGAATCCTTCGCCGGGCGACCGTGCGTGGATGTTGTAAATGGAAGGAGATTCATTTTCTTCTGTTTCACCGAAGCTAATTGATTAACCTTTTGGGCTCTCCTAGTAGCAAAACTTAACATGATATTACAACCTATTTTAGTACACTTATAAACAAGAACGAAAACTCTCACGCTAGGTATCTTTTTCGCTAAATGAGAAAGTCTCGCCGAATACCGACGTTTCCACAAGGTATTCCGACTTAAAAAAAAAAGCAAGCGATATTTATTTATTTAGTATCGCAAATGTTCGTGACAAAATGCTTATCTCTCTACCAGCGAGTCGTGCAGTAGGTTGTAAGAAAAAGTTTCGAAGATTGAGAGTATAATGCTCATCTGAAGAAGCTTCAATCAGATGCAATCAGCACATGCAATCTGGTGGATTAATACTCATGAAATTAAAGCTTCCTTGTTTCTCAATACATTGTATATTCTTAACTTTTTAAACACTCTTTTAACACTTAATAAAATCACAATAGTTATCTTTACCGCAAGATATTAATTGTACCTTCAATAAGATTAAAAAAAATAATAATAAGACGCATCCACTCGATAGTTGTGTTCCATGCGACAATTAAGTTTAACGTTTTCGTTCTTTCTTTCTTTGTAGGACCGTCTGACTGGTCATGGGGGCATCTCCTCGCTGGGCGGCGGGAATTCGTCGCCCTATTCCGGTGCCCATCACCACGGACACCGGGGAAACGGAAACGGGGGCGGCATGCCCCACCACGGGGGCGCTTCGCTGCCGACCGCCTCCGACTTCCAACCCCCTTACTTTCCACCCCCGTTTCCCTCGCATCACCACGCGCCCGCTAGCCCCCAGCATCCTGGTCTCGGCCAACCGCAACACCTGGATTACCTCGTCGGCGATCCTTATACGCAAACGCTCAACACGTTGCACCAGCACCACTACAATCACCTGAGCGCTGCCGTCACCGCGGGCCAAAGGAGCGGCGATCTCAGGAGAGACACCGAGGGGATTCATGTGGTAAGTACGAAAATATGTCTTCCCGCAGAGAATGCGTCAAGGATAAAAAGGATTCCGCGGAAATCGATTATTACATCCCTGCTTTATAATAAATAGCCACGTAACATTCTATAACAATACATTTGGCGCGGTTTAGAAAAACTTGAAATTCGTCAAAACTTTCTTAAGTTATTTTTTATATTTTGAAAAAAGTAATTATATTTGCATAAAGTGATGAAGTATATTTTACACTTTAACATTATATTTCAATTTTTATTATTCTCTTTGATTTACAATTAAATAAGAGTTGGTAATATTTTACCTATATATCTTTTAGATAAAAATAAATTCAGAAGTCTTTCTTTAATTAAAAACAATTTGTGCAGCATTCGATTGATAAAAATATTTTCCTCTGAACTTAGTTAACTTAGTATATTTCTAAGGCTGGGTGTATTTTATACTCCACGCGAGTAATGTAGGATTAAAGATAAAACAAAAAAATATGTAATCATATGGGATGTACATTTTAAAATTGTAAAGAGCGTGTCACGCGAATCTGACAGAAAAATCGCTACGATAGGGAATGGTATATTTCTTATAAAAAGGAAGGTATTGTCCATGTAAGATTGAAAACATTTTATATGAAACGAGCGCAATGTGTTTCGCGCATGAATTAATCACTCAATAATGTCTAACTACTTATTGTCAGTATGAGTAACTTAACGTCTAATGAAGCACGCGCTACAAGGCTGCCGGTATAATTAACTCTAAAATATAGTCAACCGCAAAAAAGAATTATACAGTCGATCAATATACGCGATTCACATGTGAGTTTTATGTTCTTTAATCCTTTGACCCTCCATAACTATTGTTCAGCGACTTACGTAATCCGTATATAATCAATCTTACGCGCTCTTCCGACAGATGCCAATGTCATGCGTTTACATTACATACATTCGAGAGTTGAGTTTTTTTTGCGTTTACATGTCTGTATCCTTTTTGTATTTTTTTCGTCGTTCCGTGGTGCAAGGATCGCGACAGTTTCGCTCATTGCCAATACGCCGTATAGCTGTATACAAGCGAGTGTCCTTCTGACTTAAAAAATTAGATATTTATTATACTTTTTGTTGCGACTTCGTCAACGAAGTCTCGATCGTGCTGGAAAGAACTTGCGTTTAATTAATACATTTGTTCTAAAGAAAAAAAGAGACGGTTTCATGTTTTTTTCCAAAAAATTAAAGAAATCATTTGCTAATTATTCTTTGATGGCGTATCCTAAAGTTCGCAACACTGCTGATAGTGTAGATCCGGACGGAGACAAAAAAGAGATCTCAATTTGGGATTGTAAGTTTTCCCGAACTTACAATTAGTATATATTACAATTATAATACATATACTTTACTTTACAAACACTCCGTATTACAAGTTATAAACTTACGTGTCGGGAACGGCGAGCATCAGAACAGAGAGCAACTAAACGCACTTAGAAATGCACGCGGTAAGAAGGCCAGATTTCTCGTGCGCATTGCTGAATAACGTGACAAGAACCCGATTCATGTAATATTCAGATCTATGTCGGTTAATTGAAATAACGATCACCGTGCTAACGACGCTGTAAATTTAACGACGAATTTATTTAGATATTATCCGCAATGCTGGTATTTAATACGGAAAAAGAAAGATTGCAAGCGGTATTATAAATTAGAACTCAATTTGCTGTACGTAAAGATACGATATTTGAAGTATTCAATACAACACGCACTGCTTCATTAATGAATTATATTTATGCATCTCAGACGTAATTACGTATATAATCTACATAATTCTAATCTCTTACTATATTTCTGTTTTATTCAAATATATATTCCGGAGCAATTTAAAAGAATTAAGAAGTTTGCTTCTTCATCATTACATACGAGTCCCAACATAGTTCCTTTATACATGTATGTAAATATACGTAATTAAATTTTAATCGTCGGCTTCGTCAAGGTTTAACCGTAACCGATCATTACCGCGAAGGAAGCTTGTGTCTTTAACAAACGCAGAGCGTAAACGGCATGTAATCTTAGATTGCGCGGTCCTCTCCCGGTGGATCCCGGGAGGTATATCTCCTGCAGATACCGCGCGCGCGGAAGCATGGAAATCGTGGCACCGTACGTACGTACGTGGTCGGTACCACACGTTCGCGGAGGAGGGATAGGAATGAAAACGGGCGGAGATCCGGTCACGTGTATCGTCGGTATCCGGCCGGTCGGATACCTCATTAGCAAAGCACCTGGCGTGTTATTTGTAGGCCGCCGCGTGCGCGGCGTATCTCCGCGACGTTCGCGGGGTGGACGTAATGACGGGCATGGTATCGATCTATCAGGGCAGTCGCGGCCAATAAGTCGTCGTCGTCTCCGTAACATCGGTGATTGCGATCGTCGATCTCTCGCGAGCATGAAGGGGGATCGGGACTTCGCGGACCGCGCGACATTTGCATTTGCCACGGTGCGCGGAGTCGTCCGCCCCGTGTAATGCGAGCTACGTGGCTGGAAATCGTGGCCGGGCGAATCCCGGCCTTCGTAAACCTACCTACCTACGTCCTTCGAGTCCCTCTCGCGTTCTGTAAATTGTAACAGAACGATAAACGCTGTATACCTACCTTATACTCTTCGGAGACACTCGGATCAATTGTCGCATGTGCACCACGGAGAATTAATTTCATTTGTTACATGACATTTTTTCATTTGTAATGTATATTTCCTGAGTAATTCATTTTCGACCTGTATACTCGTGTAAAGAATATATATTCTTTAACAGAATAATAATGATAATAAATAAAGAATATAGAAAAATATAGAAAATATAGTGAAAAAATATAGAAAATGCAGGCTGCAGTAACTTGTTTTTTTATTTGCTTAAAAAATCATAGGTTTTTTCGAACACTTCATATAACAGGGATTGGATGATCCTAAAATTATAGCCTTTTTTAAAACAAAGCTATACACCTACGATAAAATATATATAGACATAGCGTTTTATGAAGTTAGGTATAAACAAATCTAAGATATAACGGAAGTATATCATTGTTTAAAAACCCGTCGATTTTGTGCACGATCTCGTATATTACGGCAACGCTACACCCAGACGTCGGGTGCGATCGGCATTGAGATCCCAACGATCATTATATAGCAATAGTATTTGTGGTCCACCTTGCACGCTCTCGGTATTCACGAAGGCACTACCCTAATTACCGCGTCGGCACACGCTACCACCGTCATTTCTATCGCCGGATTGCATTCGTGCCCGATTTCCAAAGGTGTCGTGTGACGGCGCGGGGGGAGGGAAAAAAAGGGAAATACGTTCGGCGAAATTCGACACGGAGCTCGGAGGTGTGCGGCATTCTCGGCTCGGGGGCCCCGTGTCCGTTTCGCGCGCCAGCCACGGAGTTGAGAGCGGTGCGGAAGAGCGGTTTGTTGCGGCAGAGAGCATCTGTCCGCGCCATATGCAGGCTCGAGTTGCCGAGACGGCGTTTTATCGAGGACCGTGATATTATTTTCCGTCCGGCTGATTGAGGGCCGGACGTGCGACGCCGTGTATATTGCTACTGTAATTCGTACGTCGAACGAGTTGCCCAATAAACGCGCCAACAAAAACACATCGTGTGCGGCGCGTGCACGCGGACGCAGCAAAGTTAAAAAATTTTTTTTTAAATCGTCGAATTTATTTAAAATCTGACGAAGTCGTTTCGACAGTTTTCAGGGCTCAAGTGATTACAGATAACTGGTGTTTCGCGAATTAATTTTTATATATGTATAAACAGACGAAATATCTTATCTTTTAAATGGATTTTACTTTGAATTTTTATAAAAAAATGTGCGGTTATTTAGATGTTTAATGTTAATAATAAAGAAGACAGCGAATTAATCGAAACGAAGTATATTGTATACTTAATATACTTTGGATGAAAAGTGTTTCAGTCGTGTAACTGCTTGCCGTATACTACAAGGACGGCTTTGAAAACGCTCTACCCTCCCGCGATCAAATGTGCGTTATCGATTATCCCAAACATCGCACCCCTTCGATGCTATTTCTTTCTAGCCGACGGGCATTCCTGTACGTAGGGAAGATATCTTCAATTTTAATGAAATCTCAGAACGCCATACTCCCGATTTCCTACGATATTGAATTAGGTTACGGAATAACACACTTTTACATTGTTTGCATAGTTTATTTTTCCTCCTCCCCCCTCCCCCTCCTCATACGGAAGCTAACGCGAGCATATAATGTTACTTGCACAAGTTTTAATTCTGAGAAATTGACTTGCAAGAGGATATTGAGAAAAGCTTACTTAACAGCCAGCAAAAAATGTACATATCGCAAACAGGTGTAAATAAGCCGCGCGAGTTCTTAATGGCCATTTTCATTTACCATAATTCTTTAATGCATGAAGTCAGTAATAATTAATCAGCCTGAACGAGGGTCGCCAGCCAGGTTACAAAAAAGTGAAAAAATTTGCTATCATTACGCGTTGAAAAGAGATAATATCGGCAACTTTGAAGATCAAGAAAAAAGGTATAAAAGACCTTTTGCGTCACAAGTAATACAATTACTATATTACGAAATGTTGACGGTTGCATGAATTGATATCTAGAGTGTCAATACTTTTATTCATGAACTTGTTAGCGCAGTACTTATTAGTATAGCGTAATTAATCGATTGCTTACAATTGCGGATAAATCAACGCATCAAAGTAATTGTGTCATAACTGACACTTGAGATGTATCGTATCTCTGCTAAATTTAAGATCAATTCGATAACTAAAAGATATAATTTGTAGTGCGTAAAAAAAGTCAGCATTTTTTATGGCAAGCTTTTAAATATTTTAAATATGGATCTTATCATAAATGTCAATATGTCTTCATGATGTTTTACTTGATACTAAAAATCAGTAAATTTCGGTAAAAAAAAATTTAAAATAATTTTTAATTATTTAAATATATCGTATTTAAATGTTTGCTCATTAAGTCGCTCGTTAA